CTAAAGATATTAAAACATTTTTTAAAAACTGTGTCTCCTCACTGGGATTTGAAATTGTTCATTGAATAATTCATCTCTAACAAAGAAAGCCAACTAATAAGCAAACACTTATTGATCAACTGTGAAGAGCCAAGTGCAGATACAGGAAAAGATCTAGAAAATTATCATATGTTTCAAGCTTAACCTACAGTCTGTGAACCTGCAGAGTAAGCAGAGATGAGTGGACCAGCATCACATATTGCTGATGATGGTTAGGGCTTAGTACATGTGGTTTCAGAAGCAGAATAAATATACACAACATATAGAAAAGAACAACACTGAGTGTTTAGAAAATTGCTAATGTATTATAAATGTGGGAATTTTCCTTATGGAAAGATGCAAAATACATTTAGTCAAAAGCTCTGTGCTTTATGGATATTTCCTAACATCCAAAGTCATGATAGATAAATCTTGAAAAATTGAAAAATAATTTCGCAGCTCTCAAAACTTCTTCATTAAGGGCTAATTAAGTGAAAAACTATTTTCAATGTTTTGGACAATGCCAAAACTAATAAAACACAGTCCCACCCTAAAAGAACTTAATTCTCTAAAAGAAGAAACCATGACAATTCATTTCCATGTTTTTACCAATTCTGCTTGAAAATATAATTTAAACAATTGTGTATGGTTTTCCTAGCAAATGTTTTCCTTGGTTTTGTTTCATTTTGTCCCTGGATGGATCATTGATACCAGACTTTTTATTGTGGTGAATTATTGTTGTAGTCATTTACTGAGGGCTTATTAGGTAGCCAGAATCATACTAAAAGCTTTAGGTGGATTGAAAAATTTCTCCCAACATGTCTTTGTGGGGAAGCTTTATTAGAAAAAACAAATATGGAACTTAACGCTATTAATTGGCCAACCCAGGGTTCTATGCCAGAAGTGATCCCAAAGCCTGTGCTCAGTATCACTTTTCCATGTTTATCAATAACACCAGTTACTCTTATGCTGCCTTCTAGATGTTTGCAACATCTCAATACCACAAAAATTATTCTTTCTTAATATTTCTCCTAAGTCAATGCAGTTGTGATGGTGCAATGGTATTTTTCCTAAGCATTTTGGGCCAATAAAGTTTTGGACGGACTTCACCAATTACACCTTTTCCTCCAATGAATAGTCAAATAAATAACCAGTAAAACAAAAACTTTATCCATGTTCAACCTACAGTTATTTCATTTTATTACCAGTGGTACATGTACCACTGGATAAACCTTGCAACATGTAGTATTACTTTCAGGGTCTCTGTGTCATTGTATTTTCTCTGGATATGGGGTCATTGGAGATGTCCACTTCCTTACAAAGAAAGGATATGAGTAAAATAATACTGCACTTCAATCACTGTGAACACAAAGTTGTGTGTGAAGGAGGCATTCCATCTACAGGGGCTAATGTCAACAAACACTACAACTGGAAATGATGCTTTTAGAGGTAATCCTAACAAGTGTAAGTAGACAAAGTCCTCAGCTTTCTGAAGATAACAGAATTTGCTGTGGGCAGCAAGGTCTTGCATAGGGTATTTTATCATCCAATTACTCTGGTATTCTTTCAAAGATAACTTGAGAAATAAAATATAGAAGAGGCTTATGTTTCATCATTCGGGTTAATTGAAAAGCATATTATTTAAACTCATTCATTTAATTATTATCATTATTCACATAATGGAAAGTCATTGGAGTGGATTGTTCCACATGATGTGTATTCATGCTGAGTAATCAAAGGGTAAAAGTATGTTACAGAGCAGTACATCTAATCAAAAGAAGCAACTACCACAGACATGTTATTTGTCTGCTTATAATCAAACTGATTTTTCACTTTATAGATTAGTTGAGAAAATCATAATAATATATAAAGCTGCTCCTTTAGAAAATTAATCTCCAAAACCATACAACAGAAAAAAATTAAAATGAATTAAAGAGGGACCAGAACAATATCTTTACATTTTGGACTCATGCCAACTAGGGCAAAGTCCTCATTGCTTATTCTGAACAAGGAATCCTATTAGTTTATGCAATGCAAGTGGAAGAGAAAACAATTTCCTTTGGTTTTCGGAACTTCAGAATAGGGCAAAAATCTTCATTAATTGTCTCAAATGCTGAAAAGTATTTAAACATTACTAAATTTATTTTCTCAGTAATTTGGAAATTGGAGTGAAATGTTACATTGGTTGGCTCTGTTTGTTAAATTTTCTGCTTTGATTTTGACTGAAGTAGGTGGGCAACATTTGCATTCAAGACGTGGGACTTTTAGCTCAGGTCCTCTAGGTAGCAAAAATAATTGCATGGGACCCCTAGGAGGAAGCAGAAGCAACACCAGGATGTTGCAGAGCTTGTACTCTGTGTACTCAGTTTTGTACTTTGAAGAAAGGACAGGGAGAACTGGTATCTTTCCAAAGAAGCCTATATCCAAAAGTAGTGCAGCAATATAGTACAAACATAAACTTTGCTATGTGCCTGGCAGTGCATCTGTTTGTCTTGAAGAGAGGAGTAGTGATTGAAAACCCTTGAAATAAAATATCTGGAGGTAGGGATGTTTTCTCATATGGCTTTATGCTGAGGGAAAGTGTTTCCCCTTGACTTCGTGTTAGGTCCCACACAGTGGTATGCCTTTTCTAGGAGGGTATGGGGTACCAGCAGAGCCTCCTGGACTTAATCCATGTGAAATAACAGATCTGAGAACAGAGTACGTTATTTCTTTTGAATCCTGAATTTTCAAATGAACACTTAAATACTGAGGCACTTCCTCCTACGAAGGTATTTTATAACAAAACATGTCATATACTTAGAAATGAGGACGGCATCAAGAAAATGAAAGTAGTTTTCCTTGTTTTCCATGAAATCCTGTTCAAACAGAGATTTCTTCTACATTTTAAGTAAAGCTCAAGGGCAAACCAATCTAAGATCTGGGTATCATTTTTCTATTGCTATTTCATCTGAAAATATAGTGGTTAGCCAGGAGGACAGTAGTCAGCAACATGGATGAGACTTGTGGTTTGCTCCTCTTCAGTTTAGAATGATGGGAAATTTAGCGCTTCAGTTTCATCAGTCATTAAATGAAAATAATAACCAGTACCTACCACACAGCCAAGATGAAATTAGGTCATTTGTAGAATATGCTATAAATCTCACTTATTATTGATGGTGTTGTTAGAATTTGTATCCAGTGAAAAATAATTCTCACTCCTTCACGATCATTAGTTTCAAAAAGAATGAGAGAAATCAAAATTGTCTTTGCCTATCACAAGTAAGAAGAAAGACGATGCTACTCATTTTCATGCCAACAACTTTGTTGCTTAGTGACATATAGTGGATGACGAAAACATACCTTTGGAGCATATTGCAGCAATCTGGAAATTAATCTTTTCCCAGTCCACACGCACAGTGAGTTTCACACATGTTTACTCCAATCAGCTGCTAACAAGCCCTCTGATCTAGCAAGACAGTATGCTTCTTGGATATGCTTGAAAAGTAGCAATGCGTTTGACCAAGAAGTTAAGAGATAAACAGAATTTAGTGCAGCTGCAGGCATGGAGAAAGCGCCAAAGAAATGTTATTTTCCTTTCTTTCCTCCTTGTGGTTTCCCAGTGGAACCTTTGAGAATGTCGTGTACATCCTCCAGTTCCTGTCTGGGAATTACTGAGTCACAAACAGATCCCTGCTGGGTTGTGGGTTCCTTCAAGAATATCACACTATGTAGTATAAATAATTACATATCCTCCCAACCCAACCTTTCATATGGAACTTGCACGACACAGGTGCTCCAATAAATTTTTTAAAATGGTATTATAACTCAGGTTTATTATTCAGTTATAATCACTTAAAGCTTAAATGTTTATTCTCAAAGCAAATGTTTACTTCTGTATCATGGTCCTGTATAAATTTGTCACTCAAAATAGCTACTGGACTAAAAGAAAGGATAAGAAAGGTTACTAACAGAAACAGTTGTGATAGGAGAGTCCAACTGTGGAGACCTTGTGCGAAAGAGGTGGGTAGTGAACAGAGTGATGGTCCTACAAGGGTTCCTGGTAGTAAATTTAAGGTGCATCCCTGCTGGCCACCAGGACTGATCTATGCTTCCCTGTCCTCAAAGAGGTATCCTTCAAGCCACTTTGGTCAGCCCATACCACAACCCTAATCATGTTCTATTTCCTCATGAGCTGCTCACTTGACTGACTTCCTTGATGACCAACTCTGATTAGGCCCCCTGTTCATATACCAGATCTAGATCATTAGAACAAAGACATACTGTACATGCTATCTTCAAATCTTTACCTAGCTGCTAAAAGCAGACAAGCCACTGGGGAGTCTTTGAGCTAACCTGCCGTCCTTACTAATCATAGTGACCAGATACTTTCTGAACACAGTTCCATATGGTTTTTATGTGAGCATATAGGACAAAAGCATTTCTTCAGCTTTTGTGAATGAGGCTTATTTTATTCACTTCTTGTAAGGTGCTAGAAAAGACATAAGTTTCAATCCGTGTAATTGGTTAGTTTCTGTGCTCTTTGACCATGCTCCACACATGAAGCTTAGCCAAATCACTTTCCAAGAAGCTAAAGCCCTAAAGTAATGATGTATCAGCACATACCTGTCAGTTAATACTGGGAAGAAAAAAACCGCATGCTCACTGGAAGCAATGCCTGCCTATATATGGTGAATGTTTAAATTTTTAAAAATCTCATTACAGTAAAAGACATATTTCCAGGAGTGATGCAATAAGTGTGCTCAAATTAGGGGGAATATTTTGAGGGGGACGAATGTAAATGTGTTTTTTATTGTGATAACTATTTTACTTAAACATTCACTGTATTTTTGATCATTCATATAAATGAATCATAATATATACATATATTAATAAAATATATGCCATATATTTATATATTAGACAAAAGTCACCTACTTTGAAACAACTCTGATGGCTAAACTGGAGGCCTCCTGACTTTATTTTAAAGTACTCTGTGTGCTTCACAGCCCTGGCCTTTTCCACACACTCTGCCAGCCTCTTCCATACTTGTAAATGGCGTCAGAGAACCCTCCACACCCATGAACCGCTTTATCTTCAGGGCCAGTTTCTAGAAGTCCATTCCTGCATTCTTCCCAGCGCATAACTTCCCTATTCTCTACACTAGCTTCTACTCCACCACTGTGTCTGGATAACACCAGAATCACAGAACGTTACTAGAATCTGCCCTTGCCATCTTGGAGTGGGAAATAAATACCCCATCTCAGAAGATTCTCATGGTCTCCAGTAACTGCCCTGAAGAGCACATTAGTGCTTCTGATGTCATGCACCTGGAGCCCAGCACTTACTTGCTCAAACTCTGAAGACATTTCTACCACTTTTTATATCCCATCTATTTCCTAACTTCTTCCTTCCATAAGAGCACTTCTGCAATAGACTGTTCTCTGGCTTACGTTTAACTCAGAATCTTTAAGTGAGCCATGAAAATCAGTCTCTCCAGAATGACTGCCTAGACAACTCCTCCCAGTTCTCTTGTTAGTGGGTCCTTACTCTCGAAGCATTCAGGGCTCATGTCTTTGTCCTGACCATGGGTAAGTTCTTCTCTGCAAAACATGTAGCTACTTTAGCAAGTGTCTCTTGTCCTTTTAGGAACTTCCATTCTCCTACAAGAGATTCAAGATGGACATTTTTTAAAACTTTAGGATAACCCCCCTGTTACTCTGGAGTAACACGATTTTCCAAGGTATATAAAGACTGTGCATCTGGAACCTGTCTAACATACTCTCTTGCATTGTCCCAGGCTGCTCCAGAAAAGCGCTATATTCTCATGTGACTTGTTGCACGGTACCAAGGACTTTGATCACAGAAATCAAGTGTCCATTACTTTCTTGACCATGCTCTGCTGGCAAGTTCCAGGGAGGACCAGCTCCCTGCCTGCAAGTTCCAGGGCTTAGTTCGCCGGTGCCACCACCCTGATTGCTCCTGGAGGGATGTCTTTCTGTGTCCCCACAGCTGCTACTACATTCCCATTTTAGCAGAGTGGACCAGATGGCTCCCATAGGTAAGTTGCTGCAAGAGGGAAACGACAGTGATCAGGATGAGGGTGCTGGTTATACCAGCAGAGCAACATCTACCCTCCCTGTTCCAGCATTTTAAGTTTTCTGAAGCAGGTGACTAATACTCCAATAATATTAAACATAGCACTGAGAGTAAGTTCCACTAGGAAGGCAGGATTATTTCCTTTGTTCAGTATTATATTTCACCGAGAAGAGTATGATTTGCTGGTTGGAGGAAGACTACCTGAAGGCAGTTTGTCTGATTGGGGCCTAATTTGATAACTTGCAAAACCGGATCAGATGGTTCTGCCTGTTAGGCTCCCAGATTTTTTTCATGGCACCCTTATTGTGCTGCTTTCCTGCTTTGTGTTAAACTTTGGTCCTCTAAGCAGCTTTCAGATTCCCTGGAATGGCCCTCGACTTGATTGCAAATTGAAACGCTTGCTCCAATGAATCTTCAATGACTATACTGTCGGTGGAGATTTTTATTGATTGCCACTGCTCCAAACATCTGGAAGTATTTGCGTGTGCGTGTTGGAATGATTAGGATTACTGTTCACTGAGAAGATAATATATAGTACAGGGGTTTTCCTTTTGCATTTAAGTAGATTTTTACAGGGAGTACAGTAAAAAGGGAGTAAATTTCTACCTCGTTCATTTGGATCAGAGCCCGTTTCAGAGCACTTTGGGGGATGAGACTCCAACTTTGGCTCTAACTTTAGCCACTTAGAAGCATTTCCACCTGAGTCACTAAAGGGCTCTTAGAGCCATAATGTGTTCCAGCAGCTATGAATTCTTAACGAAAGCTGAAATTTGACTTTTAATTTGAAGTAATATTATTGTGCTGGGAAATGAGTAGGCAAAGGGGAAGCAGAACAAAAAGTTTTTGAAGGTTGAACTTGCAATTCTTTCCTTTCCATTTATTCTTCTCTCTCGTTTTCCTTCATCAAAATTCAGTATAGTGTCCCGGCTCAATGGTGCACACCTGTAACGCCAGCACTGAGGGAAGCTGAGGCAGGATGATTGCAAGGTGGAGTCCCTCCTGGGCAACTTAGCAAGATTCTGTCACAAAACAAAAAATAAAAAGGCTGAGGATATAGCTCAGTGCTAGGGCACCTCACAGTTTGATCCTCAGAACTGAAAATACAATTTCAACCTAGTTACATAGTAGCAGGCAGAAGGGAGCACTGGGCAGAATTACTGCCTGATCGTGCTCATCGTTATCAGAAACAATGGAGGTGTTCATTAAACATTTGAGGTCCTGACCATGACTCCAAAACTGCTCAGTCATGAGACTTCAAGCGAATTTTTAAACAAAAATTCCATTTTATGCATTTATAATTATCTGGGTCATCTGGTCAGATTTAGGAAAGCAAATTCAAGTGCAATTATTATTTTAAAATATCTCTTCTCAAGGCTTGGTTTTTGTATTTTTACAAGTAACATGCAAAAATCCCACTTAAAAAGCTGTCCTTTTTCCTCTGGTACATGAAAGACCATGGCTTGCAGTTTTGAGGCAGTCCAGAAGCAACAGATTGGTGCTTGCAAAGATCCTATTTATAACTCCGTAAGGAAATCAATACAGTAAAGTAACCCACAGAGAAAACCTGAGCATTATCTTAAGTCTTCATTATGTGCAGCAGCATCTTCATGGCTCCTCTGTAACTGAGATCATGTGTGACTTCATTGAAGGGCTGGCCCACTCCTCTGTCCCTTAATGGAGAAAATGGGTTTTATATAGCATGTAAATCACACTACTCTCCCTAAAATTGCATCAGTGTAACCAAATTTAGTATTGATCTCCTGTTTAATATGTTTTTAAAAGCAGCAAGGGGATTCAAATGTAGATGCCGAAATCAATTCCTGCCATTCCATAGGAATGTTAACAGGTTTCATTGCAAAATCATATTTCTTTCATTCAAATCTGATGTTTAAGGCTATGAAATTATTTACCTTTGAATAAAAAAAAATCAGTTTACCGCCATGTTCTGACAGATGCTATAAAGCCATATACGCTATTACAAGGCATTGTTCATGCTTCTTAAATTTGATTTTAATCCCCTTTGCATGCATAAGCTATCAAATACAAAACAACAATTTTGCAGTACAATTTTGCCTTGTGTACCTGGGTACCACTTTCTACTCATTAGAGCTCAGCAAAAGATGTCCATGAAAAGTGGGTCAGGGGTGAAAGTACTTGGCAGTGAGACAGAAGGTCACCAGAGTGGTCACTAGTGTGCCCTTGGGTGATGGCAGGGAAAAGACTCACGGGTAAAGTCAGCGAGCCAGACACAATGTTAAATGATTGCAAAAGAGTAAAAAATATTAAAGAGAAAGAATAAGAGAGAAAGAGGATGCTGCATGGTTTGAACCTTTGTGTACAGAAGGCAAAAAGGCTGCCCTAAGGTGTCTGTGGCCTAAAACGCAGAACCTAGGAATGGGGAAAAGGGACTTTGCAGTTGGAGTTATGAGCCTTACAAAAAGGAAATTATCCCTGAGCTATCTCAGGTAGGTCCAATCAAATCACAGGAGGCTCTAAAAACAAGCACTTGCCACAGGTGACAACAAGGGAAGCTCTGTGGAAGGGGAAGTTAGAGAAATTCGAAGCACAAACCAAAACATTCCTTGCTCATGGATAGGAAGAACCAACATTGTGAAAATGGCCATACTCCCAAAGCTGCTGTACAGACTCAATGCAATTCCCATTCAACTACCATCAACATACCTCACGGATCTTGAGAAAATATGCCTTAAATTCATCTGGAACCAGAAGAGACCCAGAATAGCAAAAGCAATCCTGGGCAACAAGGACAAGTCAGG